GTACATATTTGCAAGTTTTACTCTGTACGATGCGTGGCAACCCACATACATAAGTGTGCTGATCTTTGGGGTTTTTTTTAACCCTTTCCTCTGCTACCTTGTAGAGTGAACCAGCAAAACTGATGTAGTAAAGGTAAGGGTGTTCCCTACAAAAAGATTTAAAATTTTAATATTAAGAATGACCTGTAGAAGGGAGATCTGAATAGACAATGAACCACGACAGAAAGTTTAAAAACCTAAACTATTTGAAAATCACCTTTAAGGAAATCCTCAACAGTTACAGCTTCTCAGTGACGACATATATAAATGTACAGGGAAAACTCAAGGACACTGCTCACTGATACTTGTCTCTACACACTGAAATGAATACTAAAAGGTTGCATTAAAACATGCATATAAATATTTATCCAGAAAGTGAGACAAAGTACAAAAATACAGCAAGCTTCGTATCTGACAGAAAATTGCTTAAAAACAGTTTTTCATGTGGTTAGCTTGATAACTGGGTTTGCATGTCTTCAGCAGTGTCTGTGACACAGCGGTTCACAAAACCAAATACATTTGCCAGTACCTTTCTTTTCTGTGTCAAAGCAGCCTGATATCTCACTGTCCTACACAGTAACCAGGTATTTTTCAGATACTAAAGCTTCACTACAGAAAAACTCGCTGGAAATCCAATACAAGAAATATTTTAGTTTTGTCATATTAGCCATTTTCCCTAGACCTGCTCAGTATGTGCTCCTGAAAAATTCAAAGCAATTAAGATGGAAATTTTCCTCTTTGCTTCTTTAACAGCTATTATTTGCAATGTATCTATGGTTATACTTTCCCCCTTTATTATCATAGTCCAATATGACTGATAAGTTTTTTAGCAGATTCTGCAGGCAGGACACATTGAAGTAGAACATTTTCATTTCAATCTACAAAAATACCCTGTAGTTCTTTCTGAACTTTATATCTGAGATGAAAAATACTTACCACTAACCATTTCAAAGGATAAGTGGACAAATTTTCTGAGGTCTTGTCCTCAAGGCATGGAATTTGTAAACTCTGCTTTAACCACACTTTCTTCAGGTAGTGCCTTTCCTCTTTTATCATTGGAACAACAACAACAAAACAGAAGAAGGAAAATTAGAAACATGATGTTCATTGTGCTTTGACAACCAATGCTGACTAGTCTTCTATTCAAGGAACAGGCACTTTTTGGTTTAGAAGGGAACTGTAATTTTCAACCATTACACCTAGACACATTTTTAAAGTGAAAGCCCTGCATCTGATTCTAGTTACAGTTTCATGACTCAATTCACAGCATTACCAGAACTTTTTGGCAATTCTTAAAAAAGCTTTTTTTAACTCCAGGATCACGATGTCTCCTTTAGGAGCTGAGAATAATTGGAAGCTACAATTTTTATCTACAATTCTTTTTTTCTGTGGCAATAAACCTTCACATCAATTTTGTGCACCTCTATTTCCTTTTCTCTGAAGATATCTTCAGAGACCTTCTTTTCACTAAGCAAGCTATTCAGCATGTCAGTTAGGTTAAGACTAACCCTGTTTTTCAGTGTAAGTGCTCCTTTTGTTATTCTCCAGCCTGCCCACTACCACAAAACCTGTCACTCTTGCCTTTCTTATCCATTTCAAAAGCCATTTCACCACCTCCTACCCTACCCATTCTCAATCCAGGGCTCCATCCAGCTGTGGAGGCTGGCCAGAGTGGTGCAGTGAAGAGTGCACTGCTGTGATCCAGATGTTGGGTCTGTGACTGTGCATGTGTGTATTTATGCAGGAAGAGCAGTGGTGATGGGTGGGAGATGCTCTGAGTGCCATGGTCAGCACAGACCTCTCTGGCCCTTGGCCACAGGGCAGCAGGGATGTGGCACATCCTGCCATCCTTCTTTGCCCTCAGACCTGCCTTCCTTGGAGGCAAGGCATCAGCACTCAGCACAAGGAATCTCCTCAGCTCTTCTCCCCTGGTAGCTCGGGCTTGCATGTTGAGATAGAACAGGTATGTATTCAATTTATTTCTTATCTTGAGGGGAGTGAAAATATCCAGCTGTCCCAGACTGCCATGTTACTTGTCAGAGGGGACTTTCTGGTGACTGAAACTTCCTTTGTACCTGGCACCCAAGCACAGAGCAATGGTGCCAGCATCAGCCTGTGCCACAAAGATGTGAAGAAAGGCAGTGCCCTGAGCTGTGCCCGGGAGAGCCAGCAGCAGAAGCAGCTTCCCTCCACTGTCCCCGAGAGTGAGGGACCTGGGGAGCCAGCTCTAGCAGCAGGACAGAGAGCACAGAAGCCCTAACAGAGCTGGGTAGTGCGGAGAGGATAATGAAAGGACAAAGCAAGTAAATCTATAGTTTCTCCAGGAACAAAACTGTACAGAAGATTTTGCTGTGACAAACCACCATGCAAAAGTGCTGTGCACAGTACAACAGATGAGCAGTCATCCCAGAGTTCAGTCTGGGAACAGCTTCTGCCTACTCTCACAGTCACATATCCCAGCTGCTGGCTTCCCCCTCCCATCTCTGACTCCAATATCCATCAAGAGCCTGTTGGCTAGAGTCCTCTGTGACTGTCTGTCTGTCCTATGAAGACCTGCTGCTCTGTGAACTTTTTACAGGTTGACTGCATCTGGATTCACTTCCCTTTGATGTAAATAAAAACTGTACTTCATCATAGACTGTCACCTTTATCCATCCCACTCACTCATAGGCTGGATTAAGGTTTTTTGGCTTCTTTTGAGTCAGAGTGGCTCATTGCAAAAGATCTGGTTACCTTAAAACACAAACCTGCAAAAGGAGGCAAACTCAATTTTTTAGTTCTCTCTAGCAAGCAGTCATCAGTAGCACAGCTTGCTACCTCTTGTAGTTACTGAAAAAAGGCAGAATGATGCCGATATGAACAAGGGCTGCCCAAGCTGCAGACAGCAATAACAGCATTGAACATGTCTGTATCATTGAAGAGCAAAAGAAGAGAAGCAATGGCTGATTAGCTCAGTTACTGTACTAAGAAAGAGACAGAGAAACTTTGCATGAAGAACAGAAGCATGGGAGGGTTTCACAGGGCTACCAGCATGGTTTGTACCTCACGGCGCTCCCTTTGATCCCTCTGCCCTGTGGAGCACAAGGAAGTTCCAAAAGGGCAGCCTACGACAACACACACTCATACAGCGGGCAGAGTGGCAGCATCAGCTTTGGCACAATTATTCGGCGTGTACTGTTTAAACACACCCCTCCTCTGTGAGCTGGGCAGAGGTGCTGGCTCTCACTTTGCCTCTGCAAGTTCATCAGGGCAGGCAGCTACCGCAGGGTTGCCCCAGATATGTCTCCAGGATAAGAGCACCAAAATTATTGGAGTCACTGCCATGCAGGGGCCATCAGTGTTAAACATCCCTGAGTATGAGTCTTGCGTAGGACCTCCTCTTGCTACAGGAGCAACATGGTCCAGCATGAGGGCTACCAGTCTGGCCTTGTGATGTAGGGAAAAGGGCAGTGGGAGCACATCAAAATACCCCTAAAATAACCTGCACCCACCCTACTCCTAACTCTTGAATGTCCGCGGTGTCTACAAGCAGAGTGAGCACATTGGCCTTGCTGTTCTGAACTGAAACAGTGCCAGGTTTGCTGTTTATTTTAATCCTTCTTGAGTTGTTAGCAGAAACCTGGGTCAGAAAGAGGTTTATGAGGTCATCAAATCCAGTTCCCCATGTGCACAACAACAGGCTTGCTCAACATCCATGCCAAGTTCCATCTTCACAGCAGTTTGGGCTTTTGCCCTCACTGCTGACACTAAATAGCTGTTCCCAAAGTTGCTACACTGACAGCTGCCACTGTTTTTTAATTTGTTGTCAAATCCATTCTCATCTGATTTAAATAAATTTGTTCCTTTAACAGAATAATTTAAATATCCTCCCTGGAGTTTACACTCTCCCCTGAGGCTTACTTACCGAGAGCAGTCATGCTGCTTTCCAGCTTCCTTTTGCCTGACAGAAGCAGCCAAATCTCCATTCCTATGATTCTCCTACACAATTCCCCACTTTGCTCCAGTGTATTTTTGGGGGTGGTGGTGATGCCTTAAGTTTTAACTTTTAGATTTTACAGATTCTGTGCTGCTTTATTGTATAGTTCTGAACTTCATATTAAGGCTTGGTAAACTCTCTTCACAGAGTAGGTAGACAAAATAATTCCTTTTCTAGCTTGGGACTAAGGACAACCAATACTAGTTTCAGGCCCAAAAGCATAAACAATATGGACTGAAGAGAGAAAAACAAGAAGGATGGGACTTCATAACCTAAAGTTATAATTGGACAATTAACTTGAATATGCAAATGGACCAAAACTTACAAAAATGTGAGACCTCGTGACTGGTCGTCCACTTTGTGACCATTTTGGGCTCATCTTTGCTGTAGCCCTGTCTGGGCTCTTGTACTTCCCAAAGTGTTTCTTGGCACCTTGTTGAGGCCTTTTAATAAATACCTACTTTATTCTTTAACTCTGTCTAGCCTCTGTCCTAGGTCAGCCTTCACAAGGTATCAGTGGGGACACTCATCCTTCCATGGAGCTAACACCGAGCAGGCTCTGCAGATGCCAGCCCTCAGTCTCAATCAGCCAAGGGTGTTTTCTCTTCCTGGTGCCCAGTGCTGCACGCCCACAGCAGCAGCAGCCCATGATTTGAAGATCCAACATCCTTAGTCCCACCATATCCTAAGCTGCTCATCCAGTCTCCTCCACAATGTTTATCCAAAATGAAAATGCAGAAACTGCCCACCTCACCACCTTTTTTTACTTTACTATTGAACTTTTTATTCCACCAAACAATTAAGGTTTCCTAATCATGAGTTGGATAAAAGAGCTAAAGGGTGCCTGGTAAATAGGAAACTGTAAAAGCAACATTCAGTGCCACTACTGTGAATCCCAAAAAAGTCACCATCACTACCATTTATCCTGACATCTTCCCCCACCTCATTAGGAAACAGCAAAATCTCTTACCTTGCAATCACTTACCTTCTGCCTTGACAGCAAGTTGAATTTTTGTGGCCTTTGTCCCATATGGATAAGTAGCAAAAGTGCATTTGTATTGCCCAGTAAGTGACACAGTAATATTTTCCAGATGCAGCATCCACCAATTGCATTCAGATGTGACATTTGGATTGGTGGAACACAAGGACCCTGTGTTGTCCCCACTGCAGCACATCCTTGTGCTGAAGGACACTGAAAAGTTGTAAGGAGCCTCAGAAAACCCAAAGTAATGGGTGCCATAGATGGGGTGATATACAGCTTTTTGGTAGAGGGGCTGCTGTCAGTCTCGGACCACTGTGTCTGTATGATGTGGGTGCTGTGCGGTTTTGGGAACAAGAACATAACACCAGGGTCATGTCAGTACCTGGCAGACCATGGACCACTTCTATCTGGGTAATGACATCTGCAGTCTGGCCTTAAAAACAAACAGGATCATCTTCAGTGCAAGTAATGTTTAAACAAAGCTTTTCCTAATCCATCTTTGACGTGATTTGGTGCCTTAGCCACAGACAACTGCAAAGGCCCTACAACTCTAACCACAGGCTTCCCAGCAAATCTCTACCAGTGCAGACTGCAGAGAGAAAAATGGGAGAGCAAATGCATGTGTGTCTGGAAGAGGCAAGGGAGATCCTGTCACACTTCTTGGAGAGAAATGAGAGCTCTGAGGGCCTCTGTGAAAATGAAAATCTTTCAAGTAATATAAATAATGCAGAAGCTGGACACAGTTATTCCCCAGTTCTTTTTGCAAGAACAAACGTGCTATCCCTGCTGGCTAATTCCCTGCACCACCCTCCTGCCCACTGCCTTTGTGGGTTCAGCAGAGAAAGCTGTTCTCCGTGTTATTAAAGAGCTCCTGCATGTCCTAAACCAGTGTCTGTCTCAGTGTCAAAGTGCGCTGCTCTGGTGTGTGTGTTTTCTTCCTCTATTAATTTCATAAAGCAGGTGGCAGTCCTTAGTGTGCCATATAAAGGAGTAATGGGTCGATGAAATGAAGGGGCATTCAGCAGGAGCCTGTATCACTTGGTTTAGCTGATGTTGTAGTAGAATTGATTTATATCCCTTTCTCCCTCCTCTAAGTAAGAGTCCGGCAGTCCCCAAACCCCTGAATGCAGGGCACTGACAAACTCAAGGAGATGAAGAATTTATGGAGGGGGTTGTTGCAGTGAGATGAATAATCAATCATTTTCATAGAGCCATACATAAAAAGTCCCTTTTCCAAAAGAACGTCCAGGTCCACAAAAACAATCAGTCGTGCAGTTGTCCTTAGGTACAGACTTGTTGCCCCCCTTTTACATTCCATTTTATCATCCTTCCTGTGTATTATAACATCCCCATATATTTGCTTTGGGAATTTGCCCTGCAGTCCTGCCAGCTGCAAGTGCCCACTGCTCACTTTCTTTCCTTGAAAAAGCCAGGTACCAATTCCCTTGCTTTGACACTGGCTCTGCTGTGTGGTACACGGCTCTGGGGCACCTGAACCAGGGTGCCCCTGCCAGGGCTCAAGCATCCTCAGTGGGGCTGCAGTGTGCCCCACACTCCCCCAGCTCAGCCAGGAAGGAGCCAGGCAGGGACTCTGTGTACCCTCAGCTCTGGCTTGATGGAGAGAAGGCACAAAGGCAGTGTGACACATCCTCACAGAGCTGGCTCTGATTTGGTATCTGTGCACTGAAGGGTGACCTGGACACTTGGAGACTAGATGTGTGGAGAACAAAGCTACTCAATTGCCACGGCCAACATTAATCTCTGCTGTTTTATTGCTGCACGTCTTCTGCTCATCTTTTATTCTAAAAGATGTGATGATGTAAGAGGGCAAATAAAAATAAGCCTGAATGACAAGTCTCACAGCCTTTTTCTGTGAGAAAAATTACTAAAACTATTTTTGTCAGTCCAAGGAGCTTATTATAGGAAATGTTCTCTGATTTCACCACAAGTTTTGCATCAGTAAAAGTTAAGGGAAAAGCAATTAGGAATCTTGCAATCAGACTATCAAGCAAAAGATACACAGCATTTTTTCTCTCAAATTCATGCTGCCTTAGGTCTAAGGATCATATAAAGAATGCCTATGAAGAACCACTTGAGTAACTTATATTAAGTTGAAAAAGTTATATATGTAGAAACAACATTTTGATTTGCATTATTTCTTAGTAGCCTAGCACAGTAGATTATTTTAACTGAAAACATTTTGTGCAAAATTGTTCTTAACTTTTTGCTAGCATCTCAATATAAGTAATCTCATTTTATGTCAACTTTATTTTTCAAAATCAAATAGTGTCCATTAATGCATACCTGTGCTCCAGCTGAAATTTCTTAGAGTAGCTCCCAGACATTTAAGTGTCTGATCTCCACAAAGGGCATAGAGGCCTCGACTTTCACCTTTGAGTGACTTCAGTGAGGATTTAATCTCAGAGGAAAAAAACCCTCCAATTCCTATCTTTCTGTATTTGCTATTTCTTTCTTACATGTGCATGCTGTGAGGTTTCTATTCCTTTCTTTGCACTTGAGATTTTCTATTTTCTATGAATATATGTATGAATTATTTTTATTTTAAGAAAGTTTGCCTCAGTGATGTAGCAAAAAAAACTAGCCTATGCCAGGTTGTGAGATGCATCCTTCCATGCTAGTGAAATACATCCAGTTTTTCCCTTCTTAACTGGAAAATTGTGTATCCTACAAAATTGTTGTTCCTAGCTGGCAACAAGTATTCCTGCATTTATCATGGTCAGAATTTTAGGGAGCGGGAGTGGGGATTTGTGAACATATTTTTTCTTGGTTTTCCTCAGATTGCTTTTGGTTTAAATGCCCTTAAATTTAAGGGAAAAAAAGTGCAGCCCTCCTTAGTCAGCTTTTGTGAGTGTTTTGCTTGAATGACAAACTTGTTTCTCTAGATGTTAGCACATGGGGCTAGGTGGAGAAGAGGAAGGGAAGAATCTGTTTAAGGGGTTATACCTGTACCATTTACTCCTGCCTTGAAGTGTTTCAATTCTTCCTCTCTGCATACATGGGTATGTAAGACAGAGACAGAGAGGTGCTTTTTTATTTTTCCCTTGAAAGCTGTTTTCCTTTTGGCCCATTTGAGAGGAGCACACAGTGTTGTAAGGAGCTCATCCCAGTGATTATTCCAGCAGGTTAGGCATATTGAATTAAGTAATCTGCTCAGCACAAGGCATTTATTCCTTACTAGCTGCACATTATAACTAGGGTTATCAGAAAGTTGTCAGGAAATAGAAAATCATCACCAGTAGCTACAGCTCACCCTAGTGAGACCCACTAATCCCAGCCTGCCCCTCACCACCCACCATCATAAACTGAGTCAAAGTGTACCCTGACACTCTTACCTGTGACACTGGGCACTGAGAGCAAACAAAAGAGAGAGAAAAGCCACCTTGCTTTCATCTTCACTTGATGAAGTTCTGGTGAATATGTAGCTGTCTTGGTGCTCTCTCAGAAAAGCAAGTTGAAGTGACCTGCCGCATGCAGACAGGCAGACGTGCAGCACAGTCACTCAGCATGACTTCAAAGAAATGCTTCATTAAACCAAAAGCCTCTGTTTCCTGCCAGACTGAAAAAATAGGTAAATCTTGTGAAACCTTTAAGACAAAAACATTACCTACATTTTAGCCCATGTTGAAAACAATTATTTTTTCCTTTGTCTTTTCAGATTAACTCAGAGTAAGTAGTTTACCAGTTTACACTCTCAAAAATATGCCAGGTACCTAAGTTTGAATATTTAATTTCTGGGGATATGGTTTAGGGGTGATTATGGTGATGCCAGGTTAGTTGTTGGAATTGTTCTTGAAGGTCTCTTCCAACACTGATGATTCCGTATGCTCTGTGTACTATAAGGTAGATTATTGGATTTTACCAATATTACCGAAGGGGACTGCCTTGGTCTGTCTGGCCTCAGCTGCTGAGCCAATCGCGGCACCTGCATTGTTTTGCACCCCATGGGGACAAGTCCAGGCACGTCCCGAGCTCCAGTGCTTACGGACTGAGGCTTGCTGTTGATGAGGGTCACTCCTCAGGCCTTCCTGAGCTGGAGAAACCTTTAAGGGGATGGTGAAGAAAAGCGTGGGTCCTGATGGAGAGTTCTTAATCCAGATTTTTTATTCTGGGCCGCATGGCCTCTGAATCCTGCAACAACTCCAACAGAACTCCCACCTCATGGTGTGCTTGTCCTTTTACCTGGGGAGAGGGCAAGGGGAGGGAACACAGGGAGCACCAACCAGGTACGGGGGGAGAGGGTCTCAGGTGAGAGGGACACCTGGGTAGGCCAATGTCCCCCCAGGGGGTGGAGAGCATCCTCTGAACCTTTGGAGAGCATCCTTTGAACCTGCCAATCACTTGACGCTCCCCTTGGGATTTCTGGTTTGATGGATAGCGCCCAGCAGGGGTCAAGGGTGCGGAAAGGAGAGGTGATTGACAACCCACCTGGGGAAGGAAACTTCAGGGGAGGGACTAGGGAAACTGAGGCACCCCATGACAACACACCGCAACAGTAGATAGCATACAAAAAAGCTGATTTTCTTTCTTCCTTCATTTCCTTCATGCACTAGTCTCACATATGCTATTTCTATACTCTCTACACTATCTTTTAAAAACACAGCAAAACATCATAAACAATCTCCAGAAACTAATATGGATTGAAATAAGGATTTCTCCATTTTCTTCCTGAGAAGAACACCAATTATTTTCCGCATTTTGATGAATTCCAATATCCTGTGTGACAATGTCCCTTGGTGTGGTTAAAGTCCTTCAGCAGTCAGTTTTGGTAATGGCAGCACCCTCAGGTGGAGGGGTGTGATTCCTGGCAGTCCTGTCACCTGTCTTTATTGCAAGTCACTTGTACATCCTTCTGAGCTGTCCTGGAAGCACACTGCATTTCCATGAGCTAGGCACAGACCTGTCAACAAAGCATCTCATTGCAGGCAAATCATGAAAATTTGCTGCTGTTGGCAGCTTGACAGAAAGAAACAGGTTTGAGTTCTTGCTTATCAGGCTTCTTTCTACCGAGCCAAAGAGCAGGGCAGGACACCTCACATACACAGCGTGGATATATGTTATGTGCTGGCTCTTCACAGTGTGGATGTTTGGCAGTATGGACAGCAGGATGCTTGTTGCCCCTGATAGCTCCATCCTCGGGAGCCCAAGGACAACCCACCATTTGGACTTTGTGACAGAGCCTATTACAACCCATTCCTCAGGGAAGAGAAAACAAGTGTCACAGTCCCTTAAACAGGCACCTGTCTCTACCAGCAGTGCCCTCCCTCAGGAGGGAGTCCTTGACTGAGCTGAGTCCTGACATGTCTTTTCCTGACTGTCAACTTCTGCTAACCGTGGAGCTCCCCATACCTCCGGAATGCAAGCTAAAAAGTAAAAGCTGAAAAAGGACTCTAGTCATTTTCCTATTTGGTGACCTGCCAGGTGTTAACAATATCTATACCACATCACTAATTTGTCCATATGCAAACTTTTGATGTCACGTTTAAATAGGCTCCAGCTGGAGCTGGTAGTGCTGGCCAGGCTACATCAGGGCTCCACATCTTTTGGAGAATAAATGCTGCTGCACAGTCTTCTTTTTGTTTGCATTGCTCTTCTACCTGAGGAAATGTACTAAGAGCACTTGTAGGAAATGCACTGGATGCCCAGGTTACTGCTAAAGGAATTTTCCCTGGGGATGAAATCTCTGCTTGTCATTCAGAAATCTGACAGAGAAAGATCTGTCCCAGATGATCAAGAAGTCCTGAAGCTGAGGACGAACAGAATATTCAAGCCATCGTTATTGACAGCCGCAGAAGGGAGTAAAAATACTAAAGGAATATATTCTGGTTTCCACTTCAGAGCAAGGACCACAAAGAACACAGAGATTACCTGCAGATACTAGAATCCAAGAAAACCTGACTTCAGTCTAAAATTTGGATTTTCATTTATAATTGCAGTTACCTTTGCTTCTCATGCTGATCAGGTCATGTAAGCTTTGTACCATGAAAGAATGTATTTTGTGTTAAATGAGATTTTTTTATTGATCTGAAACACACATCACAAATTGACAAGATAGCCTAAGCGCTGTGTGGCATATTCAAGAGACAAAGAAATCCCGGAGCAGCTTGTTTGAGTTTCTAGATCCCTGTATCTTGCCCTTAGAATCCGTTTCTTCCCCACTAAAATAGCATCCTAAAAATACACTGCTGCCATGTTTCATTGTGTTGACTGAATGCAGCCACCCAGCTCTGTTGCTGTGCTTCGTGATTAAAGACAGACAAGAAAGAAACCTCCCAGCGTGATGGAATTTTGTTCCATTCAGAGCTGCGTTTTGCCCCAATTTCTACCTTAAGCCCAGGCCCTGAAACAGTCATCCTGCTGCTGACATTCATGTGTGTGAGCAGCATAGCCCTGCCTCTGCAAATGATGGCAAACCCCATCCTGAGACACACCACTCATCTCACCTACTGGCAGGGAGACATCTCTTCCCTGGAGCCAGACTTGAGGTCCTGCTCACAGCAAATTATTATGAGAGTTTCTTCCCCCTCTAACCCTTTCCTGTAAAGTTACTTACAGCTTTGCAAAGGCCACATTTGGATGTTACACACCAGGTTATGGACACCGAGGATGCGAGGAGGTACTGAAACATATCCAGGGATAGTGGACTGTAGCTATGATATTTTATTAAAAATCCTTTCCTAGGATTTCTTCCCTCCTGAGAGCTGAGAGTCTCAGGAAAGAAATGTAAACAATAACTATCTTCTGCTGTGGAATGCAACAGGTGCATCTTCCATTGGAACATGTGGATTGTTTTCAATTGATGACCAATCACAGCCACCTGTGCCGAGGCTGTGAGCAGTCACAAGATTTTTGTTATGCATTCTATTCTATTCTTGTTCTTTGTAGCCTTCTGATCATTCTTTTCTCTCTGTTCTTTTAGTATAGTTTTAATGTGATATTTTAGTATAATATATAAGATAATAAATCAACCTTCTGAGAAAAATAGAATCAAACCTCGTGTCTCCACACATGGGGTGTTCACCTCAACAGTGGACCTCGTTGGCAGCTGGAAGGAGGATGCATCTGTATTTGGCTTTTCCTTGGTGAAGAAGCTACAGGGATGATTGTCTCAGATCTGGGATGTGCAGGTTTTTTCCTGCCATTCCAGAAACACCCAGAAATTGCTGCAAGGATGGAAGGTTTCAGAGGAAAAGAAGCTGTGCTCAAGCAAGTGACACACCTTGTCAGTGGATGTGTGAACCACAGTGTTTTCTTTTAGGCTGGACAAGCATTTGACCTGGTTGATAGTTCCCTGTGTCCCAGGTGGTGTCAGGAACAGATGGGCTCTGAATATCATCGAGGATGGGTCCTTGGCAGTGCATGGCAGTGAGGGGCTGTGCCCACTGCACAGGAACACCTCATGCAGCATTAGTTTTTTTTCCATTCCGGTGGGAGTAGAGGATGGCAGTGGGAGATCCGTTACTTATTTTCTGCAGATCTGTTCACAACTGAAGGAAGTATTTTAAATGCTACAAATGACTCTTTCCATTGCAATCACCTTATTATGCATCATGCTCACAAAACCCTCCAGTGCAATACATTTCTTCTGCCTCAATCACAGTAAGCTGTACCTAAGGAGGAAGCACAGCTACAGTCAGTCCTACAGAAAAAGAAATCTTGAACTCGAGAGACAAATTCAATTATTCACAAAGAGAGACTTTTTAGAAATGCTAGTGCACGAGCTGTTTCTGCCAGAGGCGAGGATGATTACCCTTGCAGACTGGTGTCCTCTAAACATTGCTTAAAGAAAGCACAGGTCTCCAGTGGAAAAGAAAGAAAGATTTTGAAGCAGGAATTTCATTAAAGACTAAAGTAACCTTTCAGGTTCACTTGGCACTTGGTACAGAAACTCCCACTTCATCGCTGTGTTTTGGTTTTGAACTTTGAAACCTGCACTAATGACTCCACAGCCAGCAGGCCCCTTTGACCACAGCACCTCATGCAGGGTTGGATGAGTGGGTGGCATGGGCTGGGGGGGCGCCGCTTTGCAGGGGACAGGGCACTGAATTGGCAGTGGGACACCCACTAGGCTTTTTCAGTGACCCCCTGCTTCCTCTGTCACCCCTTCCCACTCCTAGCTCTGGTGCCTTTCTCCTGCTGACAGCACTGCCTCTTCTGCATGTGGGGGACAAGAGGGAAGAGGGTTTCTTCCTCTGCTTCCTCCTTGTGCTCCTCCTTCCTCACAGCTGCACGTGCACACCTACCTCCTGTGTATGACACAATCCAGCCCCAGCTCCAGCCAGGGTCTGGAGGCAGCATGGCAAGGCATACACACTTCCTTCTCACCAGCAGTTTCTCCATCTGAAAGATGTTAATGCTCTGAGTGAATTTTTGTTCACTGACAGGTCAGAGTA